ATAGTTTCTGGGGAATCGGCGATGTAATGGTATCTGTGTGTGTTTTTTCCCCCTCCTGACAAAAAAGGGCCTCGCGAAGGGGGCACACGAGGCAGCGAGGCCCCAGCGGCCGCGCAGCGGCACCCCGCCCCGCAGCGCCCCTCTGGGACGCGGGGCGCCGCGAGGGGCCACGGGAGCTACTGGGGCAGATCACCGCACGCCCGCCCCTGGAGACGACCACGGCGAGGGCATCGGGTGAGGGACCCCTGGATGAGGAGTCCGGGGCGCTCGAGGCCAGTGGAACTCCAGCGTGAGGGCGAGGAGCCGGCCTCCCCGAAAGGTCACGATCGACCCTGCAGGTCTCTCTCTCTCTGTCGCTTTCTCGGGCCAGGGCGCGAGGGAGCCAGAATTAGAACTCCCGCCCTCTGGACAAGCGCCCGCCCATCGTGGCTCGGAGCGCAGTCGACGACCCGTGCTCTCGAGAAGGCTCGGGAGTTGCCAAAGGTGCCCCTGGCCCAAGGTGCCCCCAGCTTCTCGTCCAACCTTGGAGCCCCAGGGGCCCCCTGGGCCACGTGAGGGGTGCTCTGGAGGCCATGGGGGGCCTCCTTGGGAATCCCGGGGGCAACCCCTCTGGGGCGTCTCGGGGAGCGCTCCTGGGGCCTTTCTTGGGCCGCCTTGGATGCCTCGTGGGCCGTCTTGGGGGCCTGTTGAGCCGTCTGGGCCTCTCAGGCCGTCTTGGGGCGAGCTTTTTGCTGCCCCCATCTCGAGGGATGGGGGATCTCTTTGGAGATCCCAGGGGGCACCTTCGGCCAGGGGCACTTCCAGCAAGCACATCCCGAAGGGCAGGCCTGGAGCCCCCGGGCCCCTTCGCCGGAGAGGCCCCAGGCCCCACGGAGGCACCCGGGGCCCCAGGGAGGTGCCCCCCCGAAGAGGAGCACGCCGACGGGGAAGAGCAGAGACACGAAGAACACAGGGCTGCGCCTCCGAGGTTGAGGCTTGTTCGCAACGCCAGCGGCAGCTGTACCATCGAACCGCTGCCAGAAGGAGCCCTAAGCAAGGAACGAGGCCCCTTTTTTCCCACAAGCTGAACTCCGAGTTTCTTAACAAGCGCCAGGGGGGGCGCCACCCCCGCCGACAGCCCCACATCGGCCCCCGTCGCGGGTAGCCACCGCGCGCCGAAGGCGCTACGACCCCCGTCGCGGCGCGACGACGAGGCGAGGTTGACTCCCGTCGGGGGGGTACCCCCCCACGCTTGTTAGGAAACCCAGAGTTAGGCTTGTTCTCAACGCAAGCGTCAGCTGTACAATCGAACCACTGTAATAAAGGACCCCTGAACAAGGAACCAGGCCCCTTTTTTCCCATACGCTAAACTTCGACTTCCCATAGAAACCTAATGGACACCCAAGCAAACTGTAAAACAATCAAGGGGCACTGAGCCCCTCCCCAATGAAAAGGGTTCGTTCTTCGGCGGCCCGACTGTACTTGCGTCACCCATCCCACTCCCATCATCGGCTCCGATTGTGGGCCGCTGGTCAGCCTGATGCCTTCGTCCTCTTTCCACGTCTCGCCGTTGCTCCAGTGCCAGGCTTCGACATCCCAGGGCATCAAGCCCTTCTCCCTGTGAGACACTTGTTGCATTAACATGATAGCGAGAGAGCGAGCACATCGCCGGATGAGCGGGGGCGTGAACGACGTCGGTTTTGGATGACCACTCTACAAATGACTGACGGCAAAGTGCACCTGTGCAGCGGCACGTCACGGCAAAGGGCACCTGTGCGAACGCAGTTCAGGTCGACAGCATGAGAATGACAGCTGAGGTGACAGTCCGGAGCCATTCGCAAGCAAGAGCGAATGATCTGACATCGCTGATCTGACATCGCTCGCCATGGACGACGATGTGCAGCCCAAATCAGTGATAAGAGATACCAGAAGAAGAATAAGAAAAAAAAAAGAAGAAGAAGAAGAACGCGCCCTGTCAAACCCTAGGCTCCAAGGAGCACCCAATGGATCCAAAATTACCCCTGGAAAGACACGCCCACCCAAAGCGACCCTAAGCTCTAAGCAGCCTTCTGCCCATGGATCTGAAATCACCCACGCGGTACAACGTGGCACAACGCCACACTACGGCAATAAACGGCACCACCTTCAAGCAACGACCTTACGTCATGGGCGAAAAGGTACCACGGCATGACACCGCACCACCTCCGCGAAGCCAGATCGCGGCACCACGACACCATGGTAAGACACTGTGCGGCACCACTTTAGCGCAACCAAAACAGGTTTTCGGCGGCAAGGCACCACCGCGTGGTGATGGACCACTTGCACGCAACCACATCACGCTTCGGGGGACAGGGCACCACGGCACCGCCAGGCATGGCACGGCACAAACTCATCCCCGGCGCTTCGGGGAAGCAAGTCGAATTACGGCTTCGCCAGGCCACTTTCTCAGAAATCGAGCTGCAATGGCATAGTTCGCTGTTGAAGGGGGAGACAGAGGTCACATATTCGAGCCAACATTGATGTCTGAAGGTGCTCGTAGATCTTCGACCTGAAAAGCGTCCGACAACACCTGCTGGTGAGATGTAGACCAAAAAAAACGAACTGCCCCAGAAATGACGCCACTCTGCACCCTCTGACTGAAAGCAACCGATCCCGGCATGCCGTGTGCTGCCAGGCCGCTTCGCGAACGATGCGCAGGCTCGCTCGCTGCGTCGCTATTGCGCCCAGGCAAGTGCAACTAAATCGTCCGCCGTGCCAGCGGCGGTAGTGGAACGTCCCCAGGTCCGGGAGAGCCATGTGGCGGGTTCTGGAAACCCTGAACCCAAAATTGCTGCCACCTCTTCGGGGCGCATCTTTCACTTCCGCCTGCTGCCGCCGGCAAAACTGCCCCGGTTTGACGTCTGCTGCCTTCCGCCTGCCTTCCGCCAAGGAAGACTCCTTCGGTCCTCGATGGCGGGGCCCTTGCGGGAGCGCCCCACGTAGTGGAATGTCCTCAGGCCCGTGAGAGCCATTTGCATTCCATGATGGTCGCGGGCTGGGAAAATCATGCGGCCCCGGCCCCGCGATCCCAGAGCGCTCTCGGGGGATCCCCGGGCGCTCCAGGGGGGCTCGCCGCGCGACTCTTCCAGGGCCCCGAAGCCAGACCTCCACCACTGCTCAAAATGGCCCCTGCAGGAGCACGTCTTGGCACGGCGGGGCCATCTGCTTCATCGCCGCTGGTCTGCGGACGCAGGCGCACTTGCAGAACACAGGCGCACTTGCAGAACAATTCGGCCGGCCCGGCAAGGGCGGCCGACACGCCCGCGTGGCGACGGGGCACGGCTCCGCCTCGGCGACGACCGCTTTGGGGCGGGGAGGGTTCGCGAGTTCCTGTCGGAGCGTCCACTATGCTTGTGGATGCCACGACAATGGACACCCTAACTGTCCTATCATTGAATTTAACATGTGTTAAATTATAAGAAACATGTTCGACACATGTTTTTACATAATGTCGTACCTGTTTAGAGCATGTTTAACACTTGTTTTCGACATCCCGGTGGCCTCCCGAGCCCGCTGGGCCGGGAACGCGAGCGAGAACCTGAGGGCGTCAAACCCAGTGCCACCCTCGTTGGTAAGCGCGTCGCCGTCACCCGCTCAGCTCCATCCTGTTCGCCCCGGGCTCAGGACGAGCGCCGCGATCGGATCCCTGACGGCGGCCCAGGCCCGCTGGCAGCTGCTGAGGCAGGCGCTGTCCTTCAAGCAGGCCTTGCCTGCGGCGGGGGAGGCCTGGGCGGACCAGCGCGGGCTGACGCAGGCCTGCGCCACCATCCCGGTGGCCACCACCAGCGGGCCCTGCTTCCAGCCGCCCGCCGAGCACTGCAGCCCGAAGCGGAGCGCCGCGCCAGGCGTGGGGCGCCCCGCGCACGTCGCTGCAGCAGTGCGGAGGGCACTCGTCCTGCCCCTGGGCATGCCTGAAGCGGCCGAGCCCCGGTGCGCTTTGGCCGTGGGCCCCGCGCGCATGATGCGAGGCTGTCGGAGCCCAGGCCCGAAGATCCTCGTGAGCCTCGCCGCCTGCCTCGGTGCGTCCAGCTCGCGGGCGCCCTGGGTCGCCGCTCGGCGGTGGCCCCTTGCCACGGCGCCCACCCCGAGGTCTCGGTGGCCTGAGACCAAGGCCGAGGGCGGGAGGGGCCACTGAGCGCGGTCGCACAGGGCCCGCTGCAGCGCCCCCGTCGACGCCAGCGCCCTCGTCTTGTCCCAGTTGATTGGGGGCCTCTTGTCCTGCAGCACGCCGACCACCCCGTCCACGAAGTTGGCCAGCTGGAGTGAGAGGGCGCCGCTGGACCCGATGCCGTGGCCCGCGATGTCGTCGATCACGTTGGCCACCCTCCCGATCGGCAGCCAGGCGCACCCTTTGACCAGCAAGTCGCGGAGCGTGCGGCGGCGCAGGCGCGGCCCGCGATGGCCGCGCCATGCACTGAGAGGAAGCCGATCACTGCCACGTCGGCCGTGGCTCCCGTCAGCCCAGCGCAGGCCACGCACAGAGCGCGAACTAGCCCGCCGCTGAAACCTTGCGCCCCCGCGGCGCACTTGAGGACGTCGTGGTCGATCCTCTCGTAGAACTTCCTGATGTCGAAGTAGACTGAGGCCCCTTGAAAGCCTGCAGCCCGCGCCAGCCCGAGGTTGAGGCTGTGAGGTAGGCCGCTCTGTCGCAGCTCGTGTCTGAGACCTGCCCACAGACCTGAGCAACACCCTCGCGCCGCCTCGGGCGGCGCCTCGGGGGCGGTCCACGCCCCGAGGCTGGAGTGCTGAGAGCGCGCTGGGCTGCCCTGGGGGGGCCTCTTGGGGGCCGGCCAAGACTGCCTCTGAGCACGTCTGTGCGCTCATCCAGACCTGCCACTCTGCATCCTCCTCCCTCCTCCCTCCGCCCCCCTCCCCCCTCCTCTCTCCTCCCTCGTCCCTCGTCCCTCCTCAGTCCCTCCGCCTCCCTCCGCATCCTCCTCCTCCTCCTTCTCCTCCTCCACTCCCTCCTCCTCCTCCTCCTCCTCCTCCTCCTCCTCCTCCTCCTCCTGCTTCTCCTCCTCCTCCATATCCTCATCCTCAAACTCCACCACGTCCTCATCATCCTGCTCCCCCTCCTCCACATCCTCATCCTACTCCTCCACCACCTCCTGCTCTTCCTCCTCTTCCTCTTCCTCCTCCTTCTCCTCCGCATCATTCTCCTCAGGAGACAAAACTCTCTCCTCTTCATGGACACAACGCGACCCATGTTGCAGTTGAAGTTCTCGGCTACCACCGCCTTCCCGCCGATGCCCCAGAAGGAAGCGGGCGAATTGTAGAGCCACCAATCCTCCGCCAGCGGGCAGACTGGAGGCTTCGCGCGCCAGCCAGGCGGCAGGAACCGTCCACCTCCCTCCTGCTCCTCCTGCTCCAACTCCTCCTCCTCCTCCTCCTCCTCCTCCTCCTTCTCCTCCTCCTCCTCCACATCAACATCCTAAACCTGCTCCTCCTCCTCCTCCTCCTCCTCCTCCTCATCCTCCTCCTCCTCCTCCTCCTTACGCCGTCTGCTATCCTCCTCCATACGCCGGCGGCCATCCTCTCTTTCCACACTACTCCTCCTCATACTCCTCGACCTCTTCCTCCTGTATAGATTATGCCGTACTCCTTCTCCCTCCTCCTCCTTCTCCTGCTCCTCCTGCTCCTCCTGCTCCTCCTGCTTCCCCTCCTCCTCCTCCTTCTCATCCTTCTCCTCCTCAGAATCATCCTCCTCATAATCCTCCTCCTCCTCCACCTACTCCTCCTCTTCCTCCTCTCCTCCCCAGATTCTGCGATCTACCGTTTATACCTCTTCCTCCTACTTCTACCACTCCTCCCTCCTCCTCCTCCTCCTCCCTCCTCCTCCTCCTCCTCCTCCTCCTCCTCCTCCTCCTCCTCCTCCTCCTCCTCCTCCTTCTCCTCCTCCTTCCTCATAATCATCCTCCTCAGAATCCTCATCCTCCTCCTCCGCTTCCTCCTCCGCTCCTCCCCATATCCTGCGATCTGGGAACCGCTTATACCTCTTCCTCCTACTTCTACCACTCCCTCCTCCTCCTCCCTCCTCCTTCTCCTCCTCCTCCTTCTCCTCCTCCTCCTCCTCCTCCTCCTCCTCCTCCTCCTCCTCCCCCTCCTCCTTCCTCCTCCTCCTCCTCCTCCTCCACCTCCTCCCCATCCTCCTCCTCCGCCTCCTCCTCCTGCTCATCATCATCCTCCTCCGCCTCCTCCTCCTCCGCCTCCTCCTCTTCCTCCTCCTCCTCCTCCCCCTCCTCCCCCTCCTCCCCCTCCTCCTCCTCCTCCTCCTCCTCCTCCTCCTCCTCCTCCTCCTCCTCCTCCTCCTCCTCCTCCTCCTCCTCCTCCTCCTCCTCCGTCCATCCATCCGACCGACCGTCCCTCCAACTTGTCCGCCACCCACTTCTGATCCTCGTCCTCCACTGCCAATATGTTTCAATTGCACGCGGCGTCTGGCCACCGCCAGGCACAGGAGGGAGGAAGGGGAGGAGCAGGGACGGGGCCCACTGTTCGTGCGCCCACCATGGCCCAAGGAGGCCAGCGCGAAGTGCGCAGAGCGAGGCAACAGCCTCACATGCTGTGAAGCGTCGGCAGCGTGGTGGCTGCTCCTCTCTGGGATCCTGGGCGTGTTTTCAACCTGGTCCTGCTGCAGCTCAGCGTGCTGCTACTACCGCAGGTCATCACCATCATCACCACCATCATCAGCGTTGCCAACATCAGTATCAATATCATCATCAGCATCATCGTCATCCTACGCATCATCCTCAGCCGCATCATCATCATCATCATCATCAGCATCATCATGATCATCATCATCATCAGCATCAGCATCAGCATCAGCATCATCATCATCAGCATCATCATCATCATCATCATCATCATCATCATCATCATCATCATCAACAGCATCGTCATCATCATCATCATCAGCATCATCAGCATCATCGTCATCATCATCATCATCAGCCGCATCATCATCATTAGCATCAGCAGCATCAGCATCGTCATGAGCATCACCATCATCACTATCATCATCATCAGCAGCATCACCATCGTCATCATCAACATCATCAGCATCAACATCATCATGATCATCATCAGCATCATCAGCAACGACATCGTCATCGTCCGCATCATCATCATCATCATCATCAGCACCATCAGCAGCATCCTCAAAGTCATCAGTATCATCGCCGCAATCATTAGCATCGTCACAAGCGCTACCGTCATCATCATCATCAGTATCATAGTCATCGTCATCGTCAGCGTCATCATCATCGTCGGCAGCTTCACCATTGTCAGCATCAGCATCATTACCATCATAATCAGTATCATCATCATCGTCATCATCATCATTATCAGCAGCATCATCATCCTCATCATCACCATCGCCAGCACCATCATCGTCGTCACAATCGTCATCACCATTATCACCACCACCATCTTCAGAATCAGCATCATCATCATCATCATCATCATCATCATCGTCGTCAGCATCACCGTCATCAGCATCATCATAATCGTCGTCGTCGCGACCATCATCATCATCATCATTGCCATCACCATCATACTCATCATCAGCATCATAATCATCATCAGCATCGTCGTCATCATCATCATCGTCATCGTCATCATCATCAGCCGCAGCATCATCCTTATCAGTGCCATCCTCGTCGTCGTCCTCGTCCTCGTCTTCGCCCTCGTCCTTGTATGCATCACCACCACCAGCATCCTCGTCATCACCATGATAAGTCCACCGCCACCAGCACCAGCATCAGCATCATCGTCAGTCGCATCGTCAGCATGATAATCTTCATCGCCATCAGTGGCAGCAGCATCATCCTCATCATCAACATCACCGCCATCATCATCATCATCATCAGCATCATCATCATCATCATCATCATCATCAGCATCATCAGCATCATCATGCTTATCATCTTCATCGTTAGCTTCATCGTCATCGTCTTCATCTTCACGTGCACTTCCATCTTAACCATCATAGTTGTATCCATCGGTCTCGTAGTCATCATCACCACCATCAGCATTGTAAACATACTCGTCGTAGTCGTCGTTGTCATCATCACCAGCATCATCGCCGTATTGCTCATCACAGTTAACAGCATTACCATTAGCACCATCATCAACAACACCAGCGTCCTCGGCATCAGCTAACGTCGTCCTCATGATCAGATTCGCCACCATCCTCGTCATCATTCTCATCATCGTCATACTATCCCCACCCTCCGACGGCGACGCCTTCTGGCCCCTCCCCGCGGTCCTGCCCCTCGCATCTCCAAACAGGAAGGCCGTTCGCCAACTTGTCCTTCTCAAGGATGTAGACGCCCTGGTAAAACCCCCTCCACCATCCGTCCCTCCTCCTCCTCCTCCTCCTCCTCCTCCTCCTCCTCCTCCTCCTCCTCTTCCTCCTCTCCCTGATCTCCCTCCGCCGTCCTTGTCTGCGTTTATCCCCTCTCGTCCTCCACCGCACGATCCTAGTCCCGTTTTCACCCCATCCCCTCAAAGACGTCGACGACCCCGAGCGGCTGTGGGAACAGACGAGCCAAGGGAAAAGAGAGAGGGGTGGACGGTGGACAAAGTTGGGGAAGCAGGGGGGAGGAGGGGGGGGGCGGGGGAGGGAGGACGAGGCAAGGGGGAAAAAAGAGGACCTAACTCCGCACAAAGGGGAGCGGAGAGAGAGGACTGAGCGTGAAGCGGGCGGAAGAAGAGAGAGAGAGAGAGAAAAAAAAAAAAAAAAAAAAAAAAAAAAAAAAAAAAAAAAAAAAAAAAAAATCAAAGAGAGAGAGAGAGAGAGAGTGAGAGAGACACCAAACATACCCATGAAACAAAATACGCAGAACAACTGGCACAATGGAATCCACAGACCCTGGGATGGGCGGCAAGGCGTGTGCAACGTGTCGCAGCCACCCTCCCCACCTCTGGGATCCAGAATCCAACTTTGAGAGCGCGGGGAGCGGCGAGCTCCTCAGCGCACTTCCGGGGCCCCCACGAGGCCCCAGAAATGGCCCCCGTGGGCCCCAGGGGGCCCCCCAGGGATGGCCCAGGGTTTGTCAGCGCGGGGGGCGAGCGCCTCAGCCCACTTCCAGGGCCCCACGAGGCCCCAGAGATGGCCCCCCGGGGCCCCAGGGGCCCCCAGGGATGGCCCCAAGACGACCCCCTGCTGTGGCCGGAGCTGGACCGGAACCGTCTCCGAGACCACCCAGGGCGGGGCCAAGGGGGGCCACGGTGGATGGCCCCAGTGGACCCCGAGATGGTTCCAAAGTTGGCCCAAAGCGCTGTGGGCTGAGGAGGGGGGCCAGGGGGGGGGGCGAGGAGAGGGGCATCGGTTGGTTTTCGGCGAGAAATGGCGGGGTGGGGGGCCCCAAGAACAAAGGTTGCATGAGTGGGGGGTGCCAGGGCGAGGAGGGGGGCCAGGAGGGGGGCGAGGAGAGGGGCATCGGTTGGTTTTGGGCGAGAAATTGCGGGGTGGGGGGCCCCAAGAACAGGGGTTGCATGAGTGGGGAGCGAAGACGGCGTGGCGTTGACAAGCGAGCATTCGCTTCGCGAACGCATCCGAGTCTCAGAGCGCAGACTGCGAGGGGGGAATTGGAGGAATCGGCTCGCGGTCCATGGCTGTGCAGCACGCCGTCTGGTGCCGTTAGACATGCTCTAGGAGCAGCTTCCACGAGGGTGCCGGAACTGTGGTCATTGCGTGTCTTCTTTTCCATAACTCGCTCACATTGGGCACGGTCCAGCATGCTGTTCTTGACCTCGGGGGTGCTTGCCTTCTGCGCGCGGGCAGCCAACTCGGAGGCTCCTCTGCATGCCATACATGGGCTCGGTTCACTCCTCGGCTCCGGAATTCCAGGATTCTGGCAGAGGGCCGCCGCAGTTGAATCACGTTTGGTCCCTCGCTGGTCAAGGGGTCAAGGGATAGGGAATATGCTGCCGCATACCCAGGGCTCGATCGGCAAATCATGAATCATTGAATGCGCAATCCAAGGGGCCCCTGAACCGTGAGACATCGGGGGGGTCGTCATTCATCATTCCTCATCCCTGTTTTCTCTTCTCCTCCTCCTCCTCCTCCTCCACCTCCTCCTCGCGCTTACGCTCAAGCCGGCGGCCATTGTCTGTAAATCAGTGCGGCCGCCTTCCTCCTCCTCCTCCTCCTCCTCCTCCTCCTCCTCTTCCACCTCCACCTCCTCCTCCTCCTCCTCCTCCTCCTCCTCCTCCTCCTCCTCAGCCGACAAACTGGGCCACCCAGACGCCACACTAGAATTCAGTATAGCGACCAGCGTTTTAAAAGCCCAACCCTCAGCAAACAAGAACGAGGGAGCCTTGTGACCTTTTAAACTCAAGGGTGCTGGACCAAGGCCATAGCCAAAGACGCGGATTACATCATCTATTGCACCTGCGTGTGTGGAGCCTCGTCGAATTGCCTCCGCCATCGTTTGTTCGAATGTCAGTTGTGCCAACCCGAGAGGGATTGTGCTTTCTCGACCGATGAGCTCGAGCTCATATTGAATCATGACAGAGACCCGCTAATCAAGTCCGGATATCAGCAGGAGCCTGTCTTCTGCATCGGAGCCCCTCCAGGAACTGGATTGGACCACTGCCAGTTCTGGTGCCAGGACGACAAGATCCTCTGGAAGAGGCCTTTGCGGGGAATGTCTGTGTCGACGGTAGTTGTGACCTTTCCCTGCACCCTGCCCATAAGACGGCGGGCTGGTCAGTAGTTTCTCTGAAGAGAGGTGAGATGTTATCTGGCCAAGTGGGTTCGAATGTTCCGCAATGGTCTGGAGTTGCAGAAATGCTTGCCACCGTTGCTGCCTGCTCCATTTCTCCGCTCATCGAACAGGTCCATACGGACTACGCGGGAGCTTTGCAGTTATGCAAGAATCCTGGATATCCTAAAAGGAGCACCCATGCAGGTTTTAAAGTCCTGATGGATGCCGTCGTGTCGCCCGAGAGTTGTCTCGTCTAAGTCAAATCCCATCAGGACTTCTCGCAAGACTTTAACGATAATGATGCTGATAACCACGCCAAAGGTAATGACGCTGCGAACAAAGCATCCAAGCGAGCCGCCACCACTAATTCTAACAGGCCTTCGGAGGCCCAAAAAGAGCTTGGCATATCCGATCGGAGTTTGTTGTGCCGTTTCCTGTTTTACGTGGCCCAGGCCCTCCCCAAGTGGCCCCCTTTTGCCCCGCGCCCTGGGAAGAAAGCCCAGCCAAGCCCGTCTCCCGCAACCCACCGATGGGAGCAGCCTCCGCTGCCTACGCATGGGATCCTGGGGCCGTCCCTCCCCCTCCGAGGCCTCCCCCTCCCCCGCCTCCCTTCGTCATTCTGGCGTAGCCCATCGGCGGGAGTATATATACGGTAAGCACGTGTGCGCCCTATGCCGCACCAGTGCCAAGGATATGGATATATATATATATATATATATATCAATACAACCGCAGGATCAGTGAGAGATGCCCAGGTTACTGCGCTGGCCTAGCCTCGCTAGCGCGAAACCTTTTGAGTATGTGCTCCATGAGGGCACGATCATCTTGTGCTTTGCGTGTGGATCGTATTCGGAAACGGGAACCAGGGGCCGTCTGTTCAGCTCATGCCCCTGTGCACCTGAGCCCAGCAAAGGGTATGATCAGCTTTCGAGAGCGAGGAACCTCGCGCACCCTAAGCGATGCTCCCGCGCAGACACGGTTTTCAAACCTCCAGTGCCCCTCGAGCTTTTCTATCGACAGGCCCTGGCGGAAGCTCAGCAGAAGTTTCGACTCCAGCGGGTGGAAGTGCTAGCCAGACATTGTCATGTGCAGCTCAAAGGTCCAGATAGGCCCACACCAGGAACGCGGCCTGCCGCCGCCCTGGCGTTATTTACACCAGGGGTGAGCAATGCCGCGCCGTCATGGCATCGCCTCGGACTTAGCATGTATGTGTACGTGTGTACGTGTGTGTGTGTGTGTGTGTGTGTGTGTGTGTGTGTGTGTGTGTGTGTGTGTGTGTGTGTGTGTGTGTGTGTGTGTGTGTGTGTGTGTGTGTGTGTGTGTGTGTTGTGTGTGTGGTGTGTGGTGTGTGTGGTGTGTGTGTGGGGGTGGGTTTGTTGGGTAGGTGTGGTGGTTGTGTGTGTGGGGTGTGTGGAGTGTTGTGGTGTGTGTGTGTGGTGTGTTGTGTTTGTGTGCTGGGGTGTGTTGTGTGTGTGTGTGTGTGTTGGTGTGGTGTGTGTGTGTGTGTTTGTGTGTTGTGTGTGTGTTGTTGTGTGTGTGTGTGTGTGTGTGTGTGGGTGGGGTTGTGTTGTGTGTGTGTGTGTGTGTGGTTGGTTGTGTGTTGTTGGTTGTGGTGTGTGTGTGTTGTGTGTGTGTGTGTGTTTGGTTGTGTGTGTTGTGTGGCTGATGCGTGCGGTGCGTGCGGCTGCGTGCGGGGCGGTGTGTGTGTGGTGTGTGTGTGTGTGTGTGTTGTGTGTGGGTGTGGTGTGTGGGTGTGTGGTGTGGGTTGTGTGTGTGTGGTGGGTGTGTGGTGTGTGTGGTGTGTGTGTGTGTGTGTCTGGTTGTGTGTTTTGTGGGGGTTGGTGGTGTGTGGTGTGTGTGGTGTGTTGTTGGGTGAGTGTTGTGTGTGTGTGTGGGTGTGTGTGGTTGTGTGGGTGTGTTGTGTTGTGTGTGTGTGTGTGTGTGGTGTGTGTGTGTGTGTGGGTTGGGGGTGTTGTGTGTGTGTGTGTTGTGTGTGTTTGTGTGTGTGTGTGTTTGTGTGGTGTGGGTTTGTGTGGTGTGTGTTGTGTGTGGTGGTGTGTGTGTGTGTTGTGGTGTGTGTGGGGTGGTTGTGTGTGTGGTTTTGTTGGGTGTGTGTGTGTGTGTGTGTGTGTGTGTGTGTGTGTGTGTGTGTGTGTGTGTGTGTGTGTGTGTGTGTGTGTGTGTGTGTGTGTGTGTGTGTGTGTGTGTGTGTGTGTGTGTGTGTGTGTGTGTGTGTGTGCGCGCGTCCCCGCACGCATGTCAGGCACCCCGCCTCAGGGGAAGGCGCGCTTGAGTACCCACCCTCTGCGGCACAGCTGCACAGAGGGCCTTCTGAGGTGTGCTGGGCACGGGGGCGAACCTGGCTCAGCCAGTCCGCCCCGACCGTCGCTCGCCCACCCCTCCTTTTCCGCGGTAGCCTAAGCCCGCTGCAGGTTCGATCTGGGGTCTTTGTATTGGCCTGGCGGGCGGTGCTGGTGTCGCGCAGCCAGCCCTGGAACTCGGGCCGTGGAGTTCCGTCAGTCAGGCGATGCTGGCCGTCCTTTTTCACTGCGGCGTGCTGTTTGGCGATTCCCTGTTGCACGGCCGTGGAGCGCTGCCTAGCTCCCCCACGGCGACAGTTGCGCAGGGGGCCGCCCTCCGTGGGGTCTGGGCGCGGGGGTGGACTTGGTCGGCCAGTCCACCCCGACCGCTGCTCAACCCCACCCCTCCCCCCCATTGCCCAGCGAGGGCGGCGGAGACGAGAGCCGAGGTGGTGTGGAGTGCAAACGCCACACCTGGGCCCCACGCTCCTTTTCAGCGTCGGCAACGCCCTGCCGTCTCAACGGTCTGTTGGTTCACCCGCGGCCGTTGTGGAGAAGATAGGTGGCCCAGTGCCTCGAGGTTTTGGGTTAGGGTCGGGTCGGCCAACCCTTAGCCTCCCTCATCAGCCATGTGATGGTCCTCCTCCTCCTCCTCCTCCTCCTCCTCCTCCTCCTCCTCCTCGTCCTCCTCCACCTCCTCAGCCTCACGCTTACGCTCACGCCGACGGCCCTTGCCTGTAAATCAGTGCGGCCGCCGTCCTATTTATCTTTCATGCGCACGTTCAGTTTCACGTTGTCATGGCAGGAACTCAGATCGTCTTGGGAGGCCGTGTTCTTGAGTCCAGGGCCCGACGACTGGACGCAGGTCACTGGCCCCATCGGCGCCATGACGCTTAGCTTGAGCAGGGAAGGCTGGACGATGCCGAGTTTCACGGTGATGCGCGACCAATTCGGGATAGAGTTGCCGCTCACGTTGGTGAGCCCCGCACTTTTGAAACGTCATCTGAAGCTGGCTGTGTTGCACTTGCATGAGCGCCGTGCTGGTGCTAAGCTCCCCCCCTACTTCCACAGCCCGTTCGTGCTTGCCATGATCAGGTCTACGCCATGTTGCCGTCATCCAGGTTTCCAGCGCTCGAGAAGGGCTCTATCACAGCCCTGGCACGTGGCTCAGTGTGGAGTAAAACCAGTGCTCGTGCTGCGGGGTGTCAACTAAGTGATGTTCTATGTGAGTTATGTGGCAGTGCGGATGACACCATCATCCACCGACTCTGGCACTGCCCTGCGTGTGATGATGTACGTATCGACGTCCGTGGTAGAGATCTGTGTGTTGCTCCCCCCCCCGACCTTTTCGAAGATCGTGATCCTTAGCAATATCTCTTGTACACGAGTGGGCTGTGCGTTCACCCAGGTGATTATCTCCCTCGCCATGCACATGAAATAGACGGCCCAGGCTCTGGATTTCAGGTAGCTTGGACGGGAGACCCAGACAACGCCAACACAATCCTCAGCGGTAGGCTCTATGTAGACGGTTCCTATATTAGAAACGTTTATCCAGAGATCTTCAGGGCGGGGTGGTCGGTGGTTAATGTTTCAGAATCGGGGGATGTGCCGTGTGTGATAGCGGGCCCTCTCCTTGCGGATTTCCCAAACCCCGCAGGCTGCTGAATTTGCGGCCTAATGTATGGCTTCTCAGTGCGGCGATAATGACAGTCACATCTTCAGTGACTGCCAAAACGTTGTCACCGTGGCTCTCGACCCCATCCCCTCTCGCTTGTCCGTTCGCCGCCCCTACGCAGGTTGTATGCTCCAGGCCCTGGTGCCCACAGTTAGCTCTGTCAGTAGGGTTCAGGGCCATGTACCAGAGAGCCATGTCCTGTCCCCAGAGGTTCGGGTCCACAAGTAGGTAATGATTGTGCTTACCAGGCCGCTCGCCTTGCCGCCCTGAGACACCCGTCTCCAGCGTCTGGCGAGGTTGAGCGTGCCGTTCGTGCTGCGCGAGCCGCAGGTGCTGTGTGTAGGCTGGCAGCCCGTGTCATGTCCCTCTGGCCCAGGCTGGACCTTTTTTTTCCCAGGTCCCCTGGACCAAACCTCCCTCTGCTCCGAGGCCTCCTCCTCTGTCCCCCCACTACTGGCACTGGGAAGGTAGGTTTTTGGATATGTGCGTTGTGCTTTCTGTGTGCCCGTGGCTCTTCCAGGCCTCTCTCTCGGCGCTGCGGCGGCGCCACCACCATCAAGGGCCTCACTGGCCAGAGCCTTATTGACCACGGGCACCGACCGAATTTCTTCGATGTGAATGACGGCGCTGGCATCCTTGTATCCTGTACCCGTCGCTGCTACTGCACAAGTGGTGGCCAAATCAGGAACCTCCGCAAGGCCTGTGTCGGTCCGCCCGATCCAGTTGTAAAAGGGGACCATGGTAGACGCTACCGCTGGTCACAAGTAATGAAGGGGGGACACCCAAAGAGAGGCGCCCAACTGCAATCTGGGCCGCTGGTGGACGACGACTCCACCTAGTCTGGGACGGCCTGTTTTGCTCATTTCCTTTAGGATGGGTGCGGTGGCCCGCCCTCCTCCTGGCCCTGGAAGGCGGTGCTGGGCCCGTGGGGCTCCGTCGTGTAGGTGCGGGGGGAGGGGCAGGCGCCACTTTCGTTCGCCCCTCACGCCTCCTGCTGCTGTTTCTGCATAGCGCAGTCTCATCCGGGTGGCTTGCAATCTCGGCGGTTGATGTTGAAAAACGCCTCCTCCTCTTCCTCCTCCCCCTCCTCCTCCCCCTCCTCCTCCGCCTCCTCCATCTCCTCCTCCTCCTCCTCCTCCTCCTCCTCCTCCTCCTCCTCCTCTCCTCCTCCACCACCTCCTCCTCCTCACGCTCACGCCAGCGGCATTTGTCTGTAAATCAGCGCGGCCGACTTCCTCCTCCTACTCCTCCTCCTCCTCCTCCTCCTCCTCCTCCTCCTCCTCCCCCTCCCCCTCCCCTCCCCCTCCCCTCCCCCTCCCCCTCCCCCTCCTCCTCCTCCTCCTCCTCCTCCTCCTCCTCCTCCTCCTCCTCCTCCTCCTCCTCCTCCTCCTCCTCCTCCTCCTCCTCCTCCTCCTCCTCCTCCTCCTCCTCCTCTCCTCCTCCTCCTCCCTCCTCCTCCTCCTCCTCCTCCTCCTCCTCCTCCTCCTCCCCTCCTCCTCCTGCTCCTCTCTCCTCCTCCTCCTCCTCCTCCTCCTCCTCCTCCTCCTCCTCCTCCTCCTCCCCTCCCCTCCTCCTCCTCCTCCTCCTCCTCCTCCTCCCTCCTCCTCCTCCTCCTCCTCCTCACGCTTACGCTCAGGCGGCGGCCCTTGTCTATCATCAGTGCGGCAGCCTTCCTCCTCCTCCTCCTCCTCCTCCTCCTCCTCCTCCTCCTCCTCCTCCTCCTCCTCCCCCTCCTCCTCATCGGTGTCCCTGCAGGGCCGCCAGTGCTGCTCTATACTTCGTGTGGGGGGCGAGTGCCCAGAAGGCCCAATCGTCCCAGGAAGGGCCCTGCGGGGAGGAGGAGAAGGAGGAGGGAGGAGGAGAAAGAGGAGGAGGAGGGAGGAGGAGAAAGAGGAGGAGGAGGAGGAGAAAGAGGAGGAGGAGGAGGAGGAGAAAGAGAAGGAGGAGGAGAAAGAGGAGGAGGAAGAGGAGGAGGAGGCTCCGGAGAGGCCTTCATTCTAATTCAACCGCCTCCCCTCCCCCTGAGCTCGGAGATCTGTGTGAGCCGCCGGTCGAGGTTCGAGCACTGTGGGAGGCGCAGCTGCTTCCCCTGGAGGCCTCGGAAGCGAATGCTGATCCAGCGGACACTTAACCAGCCTCGAACATATCCCTATCCCTAAGATTGACACGCCAAAAGGCGATGACAATATTAGGGATGCGCCCTCAAAAAATAAGGGAATCTCTATGATTGGCATCGTGATGAGGAGATGCCCAGCATAGGGATAGGGATATGTTCCAGGCTGGTAAACACTGCTTCGTATGGGTTGGATTGTTCCGAAGCCCTGGGTATGTATCGTGTGGCGCAAGTGCATGGCGTTGCCAAGCGAGGCAGATCGCGTGCGCCGGGCAGAACGCAGCCGAGGAGCCTTGCTCCGGAAGACTAGGAGCGACGGCCCAACACCCCCTCCTCCTCATCTTCCTCCTTCTCCTCCTCCTCCTCCTTCCCACACGCACCGAAAAGAACTCAAAAGATAGTCCCTGGGGGGGGGGTCCCCAGTGATCCCCGTGTGGTTTTCCCACGCGTTGGGGGGGACAAGCAGTCCACTAGCATGGCCGCACCAACGTTCGACACTTCACTGCATAGGCGTTTCCAGAAGGGCAGGGGGCGGCGGTGATTCGCCGTGGGCGTCTTCGATCAGTGGCTGAGACAGCAGAAACGCACACACGTCGCGCAGCAGCGATGCCAGCCAACACAGTTACCCTCGATAGGGTCCTGCAGCTCTGGCGTGTTGTACGAGTCCACGATCAAGCTGGACGCCCTGCCGAGACAGGCGATTGGATTCAATCACGTCTCCCTGCTTGGGCTGCCTGGACCAGATGTGGTCAGGTGAGGATCGCATCACGTCTACTGCTACTGCTACTGCTACTGCTACTGCTACTGCTACTGCTACTGCTACTGCTACTGCTACGCCTACTACTACGACTACTCCTACTACTACTACTACTACTCCTACTCCTACTACTACTACTACTACTACTACTACTACTACTACTACTACTACTACTACTACTACTACTACGACTACGACTACGACTACTACTACTACGACTACGACTACGACTACGACTACGACTACGACTACGACTACGACTACGACTACGACTACGACTACGACTACTACTACTACTACTACTACTACTACTACTACCTACTACTGCTACACTACTACTACGACTACACACCACCTCCACACCACCACCACCACCACCACCACCACCTACTACTACTACTACTACTACTACTACTAACTACTCCTACTCTACTCTACTCCCTACTCCTACTCCTACTCCTACTCCTACTCCTACTCCTACTCCTACTCCTACTCCTACTCCTACTCCTACTCCTACTACTACTACTACTACTACTACTACTACTACTACTACTACTACTACTACTACTACTACTAGGGCTGACCGGGGGATGGTGGCCGGGCGGTTCGTCCGTGAGACGACTTAAGGGTGGTGATGGAAGTTTCGCGTTTCCAACGGCTTTAACAAACAAAAAGAAGATTGTGGGTGTGGGTGTGGTTGTGGGTGTGGGTGTTGGTGTGGGTGTGGGTGTGGGTGTTTCATGTATGATGTCTGATGATGTATGATGATGTATGATGACGTATGATGATGTGCGATGATGCATGATGTTGTACGATGATGTATGCTGGTGTAAGATGTTGTACGATGATGGATGAAGTTCTGCGATGGTGTATGATGATGGATGGTGTTGTACGATGGTGTATGATGATGTATGATGTTGTACGATGATGTATGATGATGTATGATCATGTATGATGACGTATGGTGAAGTATGATGGAGCATGATGGTGTATGATGATGTATGATGAGGTCTGATGATGTATGATGATGTATGATGCTGTATGCTGACTGATGTGTGGCGTTTGATTGTGTTAGATGTATGGTGGTCGATGGTGTATGCTGTTGGATGTTTGATGTATGATGTTGAATGATGTCGGATGTGTGGTGTTTGATGTTTTATGTTAAAGGATGTTGGCTGATGTTTGATGTTTGATGTTTGATGGTTGTTGACGTTTGATGGTTGATGATTGTTGATGTTTGATGTTTGATGATGTATGATGTTTGGTGTTTGATGTTTGCTGATGTTTGATGTATGTATGATGGAATATGATGTATGGTGTATGGTGTACCATAATGTATGACGGTGCATTCTGATGTATGGTGTCTGATGGTGTATTATGATGTATGGTGTATGCGGTTTGATGATGTGTGATGTTGTATGATGTATGATGTTTGGTGATGTATGATGTTTGTTGACGTATGGTGTTTGATGGTGTACGATGTTTGGTGATGTACGATGGTTGATCATGCATGGTGTATGTACAATGTTGTACGACGCATGATGGTGTGTGGTGCACGTATAATGTTGTATGGTGAATGATGGTAGGGTGTATGTATCAAATTGTACGATGCCTGATGATGTATGATGCATGTACAATGTTGTATGGTGCATGGTGATGTATGATGTATGTATCATGTTGTCTGATGAATGATGTGGTATGGTGTATGTATCACGCCTTCGTCGTCAGGCCTCCCAGGAGGCTTCCCAGGAGGCCCTAGAGGCCTGTCAGGAGGCCCTAGAGGCCTCTCAGGAGGCCCCAGAGGCCTCTCAGAAGGCCCAAGAGGCCTCCCAGGAGGCCAAAGAAACCTCTCCGGATGCCCGAGGGGCCTGTCGGGAGGCTAAAGAAACCTCACAGGAGGCCTGAGAGGCCTCTGAGGAGGCCCCAGAGGCCTCTCAGAATGCCCCAGAGGCCTCTCAGGAGGCCCAAGAGGCTTCTCAGGAGGCCAAAGAGGCTTTCAGGATGCCCAAGGGGCCTCTCAGGACGCCAACGAGGCCCCCCAGGAGGCCCAAGAGGCCTCCCAGGAGGCCCAAGAAGCCTCTCAGGAAGCCCAAGAGGCCTCTCAGGAGGCCCCAGAGGCGTCTCAGGAGGCCCAATAGGTCTCTCAGGAGGCCCAAGAGGCCTTCCAGAAGGCCCAAGAGGCCTCCCACGAAGCCCAAGAGGCCTCCCAGGAGGCCCCCCGGGAGCCCCAAGAGGCCTCTCAGGAGGCCCGAGAGGCCTCTGAGGAGGCCCCAGAGGCGTCTCAGGAGGCCCAAGAGGCCCCGCAGGAAGCCCAAGGCGCTTCCCAGAAGGCCCAGAGAGGCCTCAGGAAGCCAAAGAGGCTTCCCAGGAGGCCCAATAGGCCTCCCAGGAGGCCTAATAGGCCCCCCAGGAAGCCCCAAAGGCCTCC